AAAAAAAAAAAAAGAAAATTAAAATGCTCTGGAAACCTTTTTCTTGAAAGGCTTTCTAGGTAGAGCATTATATTATCAGTAAAGAAAGTTTAATTTTCTTTTTTACATGTTTTTATTTTGTTGGATTTCTCTGGCTAGGAAAAATTACATTGAATAGGAGTGTTACTGTGGTACGTATACTTGTCTCATTTTTATTATAATGAAGAATACGTGCAACTATTGCCTTTTTAGTATAATGTTGGCTGAGGATTTTTCATGTGTCTTATTATTTTGAGGTATATTTTGCCAATATTTCCTTTGTTGAGAATATAATTGTGAATGAATATTGAATTCCGTAAGTGCATTTTCTCCATCTATTATGTTAATTGTATAATTTTTAAATTATCTTTACATGGTGAATTGCAGTTATTGACTTGCATATGATGAAACATCTTTGCATACGTGAAATAAAGCTCACATGACTGTGACAAAACAACCTTTTAATTTGCTTATGAACTCAGCTTGCTAGTGTTTCATGGACAATTTTTGTTTCAATGTTTACCAAAAATATTGGCCTGTAGTTTCCTTTCTTTGTTGTGCCTTCCCTAGATTTTAGTATCAAGATAATATTGATTGTGTAAAATGAGTTAAGGTGTAATCCCACATTGAGTATTTGGAGTACATTTAGTAGTAGTAGGAACTCATCTTTGTATATTTGGTAACATTTGTCTGTGATTTTATATAATTCAGGGCTTTTATGGTTGGTAGGTTTTTTATTACTAATTCAGTTTCATCATCTATTTTATACATTTTTGCCTGGTGCAAGACTTCTGTTTCTTACTTGTTCAATTTTGGAAAGTTGTGAGCAACTGCTTCAGAGTTTTCCTCTAGTACAAAAGGCATACAGTAAGATCTAATACCTCTTTACATTTGTGATGTTCACCTTCAAAATAAATACTCTTAATCACTTTAAAGGCTTATGTTTTCATAGGCATGCACCACCACGCCTGGCTAATTTTGTATTTTTTTAGTGGAGACAGGGTTTCTTTCTCCATGTTAGTCAGGCTGGTCTCAAGCTCCTGACCTCACGTGATCTGCCTGCCTAGGGCTCCCAAAGTGCTGGGATTACAGGTGTGAGCCACCACACCTGGCTCAAAGACCTTTTGACAGTAATTGCACTTACCATGTTTTTACTAAGTCTGAACTCTCTGTTGATGCATAAGATGTGAGCCAATATTAATGTGTTTCTCACAGTCTTTACATTTGTACAATTTTTCTCAAATATAAATGCTTTGCCTTGCAATAAGGTGTATTGGTTGAAAGTTTTGGCACACTGGTCTCATTTGTAGGGTTTCTCTCCAGCATGAATTATACTATGTGTAGTAGGGGTTGAGGATTGGTTAAAAGCTTTGCCACATTCTTCACATTTCTAGGGTTTCTCTCCAGCATAACTTATCTTACGTGTAGTAGGTTGGGAGAACTGCTTAAAGGCTTTGCCACCTTCCTCACATTTGTAGATTTTCTCTCCAGTATGAACTATGTTTAGTAATGGATAAGGATTTGTTAAAAGCTTTGCTGCATTCTTCATATTTGTATGATTTCTCTCCTGTATGAATTATTTTATGCTAAGTAAGATATGAGAATCAATAAAAAGCTTTGAGACATTCTTCATATTTGTAGGGTTTCCCTCTAGCATGAACTTTCTTATGTGTAGTCAGGGTTGAGAAGTGGTTAAAAGCTTTATCACATTTTTCCTATTTATAGGATTTCTCTCTGGTATGAATTTTCTTATGTTCCTTAAGGGTTGAGGACTGCTTAAAGCCTTTGCCACATTCTTCACATTTGTAGGGTCTCTCTCCAGTATGAATTCTCCTATGTGTAGTAAGGTTCGAGAATAAACTAAAGGCTTTGTCACATTCTTCACATTTGTAGGGTTTTTCTCCAGTATGAATTCTGTTATGTCTCGTAAGGTGTGAGTACCAATTAAAAGCTTTGCCACATTCTTCACAGTTGTAGGGTTTCTCTCCAGGATGAATTTTCTTATGTTTAGTAAAGTGTGAGGACTGGTTAAAAGCTTTGCCACATTCTTCACATTTGTAGGTTTTCTCTCCAGTATGAATTATCTTATGTTTAGTAAGCGTTGAAAGTACAGTAAAGGCTTTGCCACATTCTTCACATTTGTAGGGTTTCTCTCCAGTATGAATTCTCCTATGTCTACTAAGGTATGAGGACAGGGTAAAAGCTTTACCACATTCTTCACATTTGTAGGGTTTCTCTCTGGTATGAATTTTCTTATGTCTACTAAGGTGTGAGTAACAATTAAAAGCTTTGCCACATTCCTCACATTTGTAGGGTCTCTGGCCAGTATGAATTCTCTTATGTGTCGTAAGGGTTGAGCAAACGCTAAAGGCTTTGCCACATTCCTCACATTTGTAGGGTTTCTCTCCAGTATGAATTCTCTTATGTGTAGTAAGGTGTGAGTACCAGTTAAAATCTTTGCCACATTCCTCACATTTGTAGGGTCTCTGTCCAATATGAATTTTCTTGTGTGTAGTAAGGGTTGAAAATATACTGAAGGCTCTGCCACATTCTTTACATTTGTAGGGTTTTCCTCCCGCATGAATTCTCTGATGTCTTTTAAGGGTTGAGAATACATTAAAGGCTTTGCCACATTCTTGACAATTGTAGGGTTTCTCTCCACTATGAATTTTCTTATGTTTAGTAAGGTGTGAGGACCATTTAAAATGTTTGCCACATTCTTCACGTTTGTAGTGTTTCTTTCCAGCATAAATTATCTTATGCCTACCAAGAGTTGAGGACTGGTTAAAAGCTTTTCCACGTTCTTCATATTTGTAGGACTTTTCTCCAGTATGAACTCTCCTGTGCCTAGTAAGGGTTGAGAACCAATAAAAGACTTTGCCACATTCTTCACATTCGTAAGCACTCTCTCTAATATGAATTCTTTTATGTTGACTTAGATGTAAAAGCATGCAAAATGATTTGCCACATTTTTTACATTTGAAAGGTTTCTTTCCAGTACGTCTTGTCTTACGTCTACCTGAATTGAACAATTTATGAATGACTTTCCCATATGTATCACATTGAAATATTTTGCTCTCGTTACTTGTCAAACACTGGTTTAGTTCATTATAACCTTCTTTGTGCACATTATACTCATTCACACTTTTACAGCCTTTTCTTATCTGTAAATCCTTATGTCCACATTTTACATATTCTCTCAGTATCACTTTTTGAAAAGAATCTTTTATGCCTGGCCTTTGCCCAAGGTCTTGGCCAAAATGAGAACATAGAACTGAAAGAAATAAAAATAACAAATTACTCCACTTACTAGAGTCAGATAAATATAGATTACAAATCTAACCTGTAACATTATGCACACTATATAAACAAGTTGACATAGCAAAATACCAAAGGATCTAATTTTTTATAAAAATGTATATGTAACAAAAACATATTAACCAAAATACATCTCAGAAAAAATTATAAATAAGTGTTTGAAGTGCCCCACGTGAGCACAATGCAAAAAGCCACACAGAAGGAAAAAAAACAACAAAAAAACTTTGTTACATTTACCCAACACAGCTCTTCCAGCTCCCCAATATAATAGAATGCCTTTAGAAATAAACTGCCAGCCAGGCATGGTGGCTCAATCTGTAATTCCAGCTACTTGAGAGGCTGAGGCAAGAGAATCGCTTGAAAGCAGGAGGCAGAGGTAGGAGTGAGTCAAGATTATGCCACTGCATTCCACCTTGGGTAGCAGAGCAAGACAACATCTCAAACAACAACAACAACAACAAAACAGTAAATTGCCAACTTCCAATTTTTTTTAAAGAAAGACAAGTAAAATACTGGCTCCTACGTCTTTGTTACTTGCTTGTAGGTGCCTTTCCAGACACTGGTTTCTGTTTCCTCTAACACACAGTGCTGAAAGAAATGGTGGGATGCTTTGGAATGACAGTTTGAGTCTGCTGAGACCAAAGGTGAATGTTGCAGCAGTGGACACTTCAGTAACACAGAAAAAAAGAAAAAGAAAAAAGAAGGTGTAGGAAGCGATTACTGAGTATTAAGAAAGAAGACAAATAATTTTCTTTAAAAATACAAAATTTCACACAAGACACATCCTAAGAACATGTTTACGAGACTTTCAGAATCTCTGACCCAGATAATTGTTCAAAGTTGCCAGGAGAAAGCCATATTACAAAGATTGAAACAGGTAACTTTTGTTTTTTTTTCTCAGACAGAGTATCACTCTGTCACCCAGGCTGGAGTGCAGTGGCACAATCTCGGCTCATTGCAATCTTCGCCTCCTGGGTTCAAGAGATTCTCCTGCCTCAGCCTCCTGAGTAGCTGGGACTACAGATGTGCAGGACCATGGTTGGCTAATTTTTGTATTTTTTAATAGAAACCAGGTTTCACCATATTGGATAGGCTGGTCTCAAACTCCTGACCCCGTAATCCGCCCATCTTGGCCTCCCAAAGTGTTGGGATTACAAGTGTGAGCCACCGTGCCCAGCCCAGGTAACTTTTTTTAATGTTCAAATTTTAACAAAAGATTACCTGGCCTTCTTTGTGTATGTGGCCTGAAATGAAGGCTCATTACAGTGCCATGAAGGCAACAGGATTAAGATAAACATCACCTTTTGATAGCATTAAATTGATTTTTTTAAATAGTAAATGCTGGAGTGGGGACAACTGATTTGAATAAAGTTGAAAGAACATATGAAAGTCAGTTTTAAGATGTCATGTTTGAGTAGTGTAAATTTTGATCATTCTAATATGTTGGTTTGTATATTCAGTTTTAACTCTATGAATCTCATTTGCAAATCAGAATTAGAAAAAGTTAAATTAGTTAAAATAAATGTTTAATTACACATTAAAAATTACCATGTATGTAAAATAGGGCAATGTTTTTCCAACAAAAATATTAAAAATTGAAAATAAATTGAATAACACTCAATGAGTGAACTATGAACACAGAGAACTACAGAAAATCAGAAAACTGGAAATAGCAAATATATTTAAAATATTAGAAAAACAGGCCAGGCATGGTGGCTCATGTCTGTATTCTCAGCACTCTGGGAAGCTGAGGTGGGCAGAACACGAGGTCAGTAGATCAAGACCGTCCTCGCCAAAATGGT